GACACGGTGATGTAGAATGTACGAGAAGCATAAGCAATGAAGAAGCAGCTTCACATCCACTAAATAGGGGTACACGACAGAAGATTCAAGTTAGCCTATACTTTTGGAACACACTGTATCTGCATTTCGTTTTTTTTTTGAGTGAATAAAAATTATGATCTACAGCTGGATACAGACTTGAGATTTATGAGGACCAAATCGGCTTCTTCTGGGACATAACGGAGCAGGAAAAACGACTACTATGTGAGTTCCACCTTGCTCAAGTATTTTGAAACTGACCTTATTATTTCCACTGACAGCAGCTCGATGGAATCTGACATCCATTCAATATCTCGACTATCCAACAAAATTTTAATGGAGTTACTGGTTAGAGGTTACTATTGGAATAGTTTCATCTTAGGTCGATTCTCTGTGGATTGTACTCGCCATCATCAGGCACAGCCACCGTCTACGGTATGGATATTAGAAAGGAAATGCAGCGTGTAAGAGATGTGTTAGGGGTGTGTCCGCAGTACAATGTACTGTTCTCGCAGTGAGTTTTGACTAATTACATCTCCTTTGAAGGTTCAGAGAAAAATCCATTTTGCAGTTTGACCGTCTCGGAACAACTGAAGCTTTTTGCAGCTCAAGGAATCAACCAGACGATCAGATTCCAGATGTGAGACACAGAAAGTCATGCAGGAGACACTTAATGTCATATCAATATATACAGTCTTGCTAATTGCACTGTGTCGTCTTTCGGATGTACAGCAGCGCTCAAAGTATTCGGCCAATGGTTTTTTTTTCGGCCGTAACTTTTTCTCGCTGGACATCAATCATCTCCAATTTTTAGATGTGTTGAAGTAAGCTTGTCTAGAAAATAGCATAATTGATTTATTAGAAGGAAGGGCGGAGTTACGAAATTTGTTGGTTGAAATTTCGAGTATTACAAAGTGCATGAATTACAATAATTATTGGAAAGCTACTGTCGCACGACAAATCGGGGCATGATAAATAACATCAAGGCAGATTCACCATAACTGTCGATAACCTCGTAGAGTGGTGAAACAATCGAAGGACCAATAAGGAATTGCTCATAGAATTCACTGTTGTTAACAGTTCCCTTCATTCCCGTCAATGTACGGTTTCTCGATCATTCCCGTCCTTGTTCGCCGAATTTACTTCCTCTTTACGGTACGTGTTTCACTTGCACTCCGGGCATGTGTCTCGATGGCGTCGCGTCCTTTAAGCACGCAATGCTGTCGAAACCACTCCCTTTACAGTAGCGTGCGAGATTTTAGGATCGTTCTATTGCGACGAAGACGAATGAAAGCCAATGTTTATACGTAGGGATTACGCGGTACCCCAGAAACGTCCAAGCAGAGCAGAGTCGGCGGACGAGATTGCGCGCTTAGAGTGTGCGATGACTACGGCGCATGCGTGGGACACTATTTCAACTTGAGCGAAATCCCTGTAGCACGGTGATCGGTGTAAAACCGCACCACAACCAGCACACTCCTGTCACTTTGCCTGTTGGCGCGGCGAACTGGTCGCAGCGACTGCGGGAGTCAAGTGCCGGGGTCTTAGGTAGTCCTTATCAAAAGCTGTGACAAAGACCAATATCACGATTCTTTTTCGTATCGTCAGGCTCTGATCGATACTTCGGTTATAGGAAAGGCTTCGACATATCGTCCTACGACGTTGCTGTTTCAGTCTGGCGAGTGGACAGCGGCTGACTTAATGAGTCAAAGGTAGGGACAGCTTGTCCTTCAAGGACGCACAACCACACTGCGCCGCAAGATGCGCGCGTTGGTTGGACCCGCCGCCCCAGAACATTCATATAATAAATGCTAGATCGCTTTAGATGTTGTGTGAGCTTGATGGGGCATGTCAGTTCAGGTGTGCGTCAACACTATTCCTCCCCATCACTTGCAGCTCGGAACAACTTCACAGATTCGAGAAAGCTGTTGAAGCATGACGGCCTAGAAGTACCCAGACAAGCTTATCCACACATATGGCAGCCGCGGTATCTGCAGTTCTGTATTTCCAACAAAAAAATTCGCTCAAAACATCGATTTACAGTTGCGCAAGTGAGCTTCGACAGCAAGCATGCTGTTAATGGAGGTCATTCGGGACGCAATATTCAGTTGAACGTATCGAACGCTATTGGAAGAAGTGAGGAAACCCTTGGCGAAAAAAAAGAGTCGCTAATATGAACGAGAAACTTGTCAAATGTAGGGAAAGAGAGACAGTCGAACAGTAGACAGCAAACGGCTGGGACCGTATGCTGAATGTTGGGGAGGGGATGGGGTCCCCAACGGTCGACGGTTTACTTCAACTCGGTTGGTACGATAGGAGAGTACTGACGCAAGTGGTGCAGCTGGTCCAGTAGCTTCGCCAGAAGGACCGGTCTGCTCACCCTTGGACTAAGCCTAGGAGAGGGGACGGACCCGTCCTCTCTTTAAGGCTTAGTTCTAAGGTAAGCGCCAAATTGTGGCGGTTCTAAGGACCGCGTTGAAGTTGTCCGTCCACCGTCGGGGACACCATCCCCTCCCCAACATTCAGCATACGGTCCCAGCCGATGTGCCAAAAGGGCTGGTTTGCTTACGTCTCGTAAAACTTCAGTATAATGAATATTAAATGATCCTATGCTCAGGCTCCGTTAAGGTATCAGCTGCATTAGAAGGTTATCACCAAAGTACCTAATACCAAATTTGCTTAATGTTATGTGCCATGCTGTCGATTGTTCTACTAGATTATAAGCTTTCCCTTTCGTAGTTAATAATTTGAATACATTTGGCCTTACTCGGAATTCTCAGAAGTTGAGTTTTTCGCTTTGCACTCTTCCACATTCAGACGATCAATGTCGATTTCGGAAGGAAGGCCTATTTTCAGAAAATATCAATATTTGACCTGATTTGATTCGGCAGAGAAAAAGTTCCGTCGGAAAAGCATTTGGCCAAATATTAGGTCGGTCCATAATTTTTGAGAACCTTTGGTGTTTTTCGATTCAATTACTTATCTGATTTCTCTGATGTACTTATTCAGTATAGTATACATCAGCATTATTACCAACTACCAGTTTAGCTCCGCCCGCTACCGCGCGCATTGATAGAACTGACAATCGATGAAGCTTTAGGTTTCACCGCTAAATTATAGCTGCTTCGTTAAATGTATTACTGTCCGTTGCATAGGCTGCATCTTGGCTGTATCTCACTGTTTGATAAGCGCAGTGAAGTGCACAGCTAAAGTGATGATGTAAACAACCACTATGCGTCGAGTATCGAGGTAATTTAGCGGTCGAATATCTCAAAACGGAATGCCAGTATTCATTATCATATTTATTCGAGCATCCCATTCATCCTCAAGAACTCTAGAAGGTGTAGCGGTCGAAAGGTGTTTGAGTTTACAATTACAACGCTGATGAAATGACATTGAAATGAAAGGCATTATCTACAATCTGCTCTCTATTTTCTATTTCAAGGGCTCTCTACGTTCGTACGCATATCGATACAGTCTTCATCAGTGCGAGAACACCACATATGCTTTTCGTCCCCCTATATCATGCCCCAAAATCAGCTCCCGACGACTGCTGCGAAGCGCACTATGAATTTCGTGAAATTTGTGTTTCAGCGCCTCTTATCTGCTCTTATCAGTCGTTATCACTTGGTGACCCCCACCAAATATGTTCCCGTCCCACCCCTATATCATATCAAAAAATCAGCTCCTAACGACTGCTGCGACGCGTGCTATGAATTTCGTGACACACGCACACACACACACACACACACACACACAGCACACACACACATACATACATACACACACGACAACAGTAGCTGTTTTTATGATATAGTGTGGATTATCAATGCCGGTGGTTAGTTGTTCACGTGCTCTCTTAGAATATCTTAGCAGTTCTGATCGAAGAATATTGGATGTCGATCATTGCACTTTATGGTTCAAGTGAAGATCTTTCTTCTCAAAGGTGGAGACATTGAAGAGAGGAGGATAGTCGTTCGTTGACGCAGGATTAGTGCTACAAGGCGGAGCTAAAAGAACTGACCGCCCGAGAGTCTCCAATTTTTTAGGAATTTTCTTAGCAAGGCGGGCTCGAACGACCTCAGAAAAAATAGATTTTGTCTTCCTTTGCTTTCAAGTTGAAGGCGTTGCCATCAAGCTGTCAACGATTCTTCCCATCACTGACACTGGTATTAGTTGATGCCGGTCTTCAGCGCAAAGGCCCTCCCGTATTGCGCCAACGACTCAGGAAGTTCGAATTCAGAGGGAGTTGGGTTTTTACTGTCAGAACTCGAGTATTATAGATGGTCATCCGAAGGAACTATGGGAAACCAACAGGAACTTGATGATGTCAGATTGGGTTGAGAACTGATTCGGGACTACAATTTTCCTTCGATCAGAACTCTATGAAAGTCCACAAGAGAGGCACTGAATACCCACCCTCGCATTGGTGATATGTTGTTAATAATAATGATGTATACTATGCTGGATAAGTAGATCAGAGAAATAAGATAAGTAATAAATCGAAAAACACCAAAGGTTCTCAAAAATTGTGGACCGACCTAATACTTTTTTATGTCCGTTCGCGTAGTGAAATTATTAGGAGACTGATCATTGACCAACGCTATAAGAACTGGAAAGCCCTGATTGTGATAATACTACAACTGCTACATAAGAGGGGCCATAAAAAGGACTATGCTCATGACGCACATCAGGAAGCTGTAATTCGCATAGATTGCCGTGGTATAGAAGTCCCTCGGCAAAATATTCCTAAAATGTTTCTCCATACGTTGTCCTGCAAATTGCCTCATTGCAGGATGTTGACGATATCCTTCAATCGGTATCACTGGTAGAGAAAGCGAACGATTTGGCCAGCACATTGTCAGGTCTTATTTTCATTCCCCTTTATTTCTCTTCAGAGAGTTGCAGAAAAGGATTTTCGCCTGTGTCACCTTCGTTCACTTTTTATCATCTGCGATAAAAAAATGATACGTTTAGGTGGAATGAAGCGTCGTTTGTGTATAGGAATCGCATTGGTGGGAGGTTCTCGATTTGTGATTCTCGACGAGCCAACAGCCGGTGTCGATGTGACCAGCAGAAGAGAGATTTGGTCGTTGCTGCAAAACAACAAGAAGGGTATTTCTTTATTGTCAGACAGTACAAAAATTGCCGCGCTGAACTGTGGCGATTGTCGATCAACTTCAGGGCGAACAATCCTGCTGTCTACTCATCACATGGACGAAGCGGACATCCTCTCCGATCGAATTGCTCTTCTTTCTGAAGGCCGTCTTATTACGCTTGGAAGTTCGATGTTTCTCAAGAACAGATATGGAGATGCATTCCAGGTTTTTGCCTGTAAAAAGGTATCGAGATAGTTGTCGAGCAATTCATATCTTTCAATCTATTCCTCCGATTTTTTTTGAATTTATTCCGGATATTTTGATCGATTCCTTGGACGTATTTTGCAGGATCACTCACGCGATTACACAGCGGTGGTCACCCGAATCATCACTGAAGCAATAATTCCCATCAAGTTAAGCGATGAGACCGAAAATGAACTGGTGTTTTCGTGAGTACTTTTTCAGAGTTTCAAAAAATTCATCAAAATCAACACTGCACCTACATTATATACCGCTTACCTCTGTACGCTATCGCAGCATCACACCCTAGAGTTCAGTGATGCCGGAAAAGCTGTACAACCTGAAGGCAAGGATCATGATCCAATTTGTTGGTAATTTCACTCAAATATGAAATTCGGAATGGGGTGGACTTCC